TCCCATCTTGGGCTTCAATTCCTGCTCAGAAATGATCTTTTCTAGAAAGCTTTCTCAGTTTTTCATTGCTGTGACCAAATCCAAGAAACACTTTCAAGGTGGAAGGCTTTATTTTGGCTCAAGGTTTCTGGGGTTGCAGTGTGTCGTGATGGGGAGGGTGTGCAGAGCAGAGCAGCTCACCTAGGGAAGGCGAGGGGGAGGAAGGAGAGAACAGCTGCCCTCAAGGCTTTTGTCTTTCCCTCTTCTATCCCTTTTGTGCCCCAGTCCATGGGGCAGTACCACCTACATTCATGGACGGTCTTCCCCCTTTGGTCAGTCCTCTGTGGAAGCATCCTCTCAGATACACCAGAGCTATGCTTTATAATCTCCTAGATGTTTCTTTAAAAAATCAAGTTAACAAGATGAACCATCACAGACTCCCATGCCCAACCTTAGGAACTCACTTGACTCGTGTTCCAGAGTGCCCTCCTCTTCTTCGGGGAACAGGCTGTTTTTGTGGTGGCTGGTGTGTTGACATAGCTTCTCTCAGCTCTCCCAGCATTCGCTGGTCTTAGCTGGAAAGAATCAGCTGAGCCTTCTGTACTCTGCCCTCCAGTCTGCCTGCTCACCTCTTTATCCACCTGTTCTGCTTTCTGTTTCCTTTTCCACTCTTTGTTCTTGTGACTGACATCTGTTTTCTTCACGTTACCATCATTTCAATGAGGATTTCAGAGGCAGGGATATCAACACATGGGTTCAATATGTGACTTTTAGACTGATAAAGCCTTTTATAGGATACAATCTACAATGCATAAAATCTCAAAAGAATATGTTCTGTGATACAGCTGCTAAATTTCTTTAATAATTTTTATTAGTTCTTTGAGAATTTCATACAGTGTATTTTGATCATATTCACTGCCTCTCCAACTCCTCCCATATCCATCCACTGTTCCTAGTCACTGAATGTTGTGTCCTCTTTATTTTAATAAAAAAAAACAAATGAGTCCAATTTGTGCTGCCTATATACTCTTGGGTGTATGACTATCCACTGGAGCACGGTCCTCATACCAAGTGGCAGACTATCTTAAAGAAGATCCACTCTCCCTCTCCCAGTGGTTGTCAATTGTCAATGCCTCCTCAGCTAAGGATGGGACATCTTGCCTGCCTCCCCTCTCCATACTGGGATTTTGTCTGGCTTGAGCTTGAACAGGTCTTTCACATGCTGTCACAACTGCTATGAGTTCATATGTGCACCTGTCCTGCTGTGTCTGGAAAACATGGTTTCCATTTAGTCATCCTCTGCCTCTGGCTCTTAGAATCTTTCTGCCCTGCTCCCCCTTCACAATAATCCCTTGGGAGGAGACAATGTGCTATAGATAGCCTATTTAGGGCCGAGCACTCAACAATCTCTTATTTTCTGCATGTTGACCAGTTGTGAGTCTCTGTGTCAATCATCCCCTGCTGCCAAAAGAAGCTTTTCTGATGAGGGTTCAATGGGTCTAAGTCATTAGGACTCAGTTTAATACTATGTCGATTTAGCAGAATAATAGCAGTAGGCTTTCCCATAGGGCCTGTTGAACCCAAAGGTCCTTTGTACCCATAATGGTGCCAGGTACAGGTTTCATTTGTGGATAAAAATTTTTCTAATTGTTTTGTGTGTGTGTGTGTGTGTGTGTGTGTGTGTGTCCACAATGTGTGGGTGAGTGTGCATGCCATGGTGCACATGCTGAGGATGGATGGGGAAGGGCACCTTGTAAAGTTGGTTCTCTTCTTCCATTTTTATATGGGTCTTGGGGATCAAACTCAGGTCACCATCCTTGCTCAGCAAATATGTTTACCTGCTGAGCCATTTGCTAACCAACTGTTAAATGCCTAGATCAAAAACACATAGAAATAATTCATATGCTTAAGGAGTAGTAAAGACATTGCCTTATAGCACTGATCACAATTGTGAAAAACAAGAAACAATTTATAGGCTATTAGTAAATGACTCAATGAACTTTTATAGATCTATACTATAGAACACACAAACACACAGATCTGAAAATATAAGTTTTTTTTTCTCCAGACACGGTTTCTTGTAGCCCAGGCTGGCCTTGAACTCAGTGTGTAGCCGAGGATGACCTTAAACTTCTGATCCTTCTGCCTCCACCTCCAGAGTGCTAGGATTAAAGGATGACCCACCATGCCCAGCTTTAAATTTAAAACGTAACTATGTATCATCTCTGAACCCTCTTGTATTATCTGATACCACAAAAGAATATATTGATTTATTTTCCAAGTGACTACAGAGTAAGGAAAACAAATTTTCTAATGTACATATGAGTGCTGTCAGCTTGATCATGCCCTGTGATCAGGCTAGTGAGTGCTGTCAGCTTGATCATGCCCTGTGATCAGGCTAGTGAGTGCTGTCAGCTTGATCATGCCCTGTGATCAGGCTAGTGAGTGCTGTCAGCTTGATCATGCCCTGTGATCGGCTAGTGAGTGCTGTCAGCTTGATCATCCCCTGTGATCGGCTAGTGAGTGCTGTCAGCTTGATCATCCCCTGTGATCGGCTAGTGAGTGCTGTCAGCTTGATCATCCCCTGTGATCGGCTAGTGAGTGCTGTCAGCTTGATCATCCCCTGTGATCGGCTAGTGAGTGCTGTCAGCTTGATCATCCCCTGTGATCGGCTAGTGAGTGCTGTCAGCTTGATCATCCCCTGTGATCGGCTAGTGAGTGCTGTCAGCTTGATCATCCCCTGTGATCGGCTAGTGAGTGCTGTCAGCTTGATCATCCCCTGTGATCGGCTAGTGAGTGCTGTCAGCTTGATCATCCCCTGTGATCGGCTAGTGAGTGCTGTCAGCTTGATCATCCCCTGTGATCGGCTAGTGAGTGCTGTCAGCTTGATCATCCCCTGTGATCGGCTAGTGAGTGCTGTCAGCTTGATCATCCCCTGTGATCGGCTAGTGAGTGCTGTCAGCTTGATCATCCCCTGTGATCGGCTAGTGAGTGCTGTCAGCTTGATCATCCCCTGTGATCGGCTAGTGAGTGCTGTCAGCTTGATCATCCCCTGTGATCGGCTAGTGAGTGCTGTCAGCTTGATCATCCCCTGTGATCGGCTAGTGAGTGCTGTCAGTTGACCATGCCCTGTGACCAGGCCAGGCATGTCTTTATGTTCTCATTTGTACCTAGAAAGGGATAGTTGCTCACCCAAAGTCTCCCACAGGGAGGGCATCCCACAGGGTCCACCATGGACTCCACTAAGCATATACCTCATCCACAGAACAATGACACCCTTCTCTTAACCAAGAAGAGCTCCAGTTCCTCCTCTTTTGGTGAACTTGATGAAATAATTCCTAAACGGCTGCACTGCTAGTAGACAAGTGACCGATGAGTTAACTGTCGCTATGTAGTAATGACCCCAAAACATAGTGGCTTAAAACAACACATACACTTACCTCCTAGTTCCTGTGGTTCAGAAGGCAGGATGTGGCTTAGCTGGCCCTCTGGTTCAAGGCCTTTCAGGAGACTGTTGTGAAGCCAGGCATGAGCCACTCCAACTCCTTTACTCTGAGGGTGATTCACTTCCAAGCTCATGCACATGGCTGTTGGCTGTATTCAGTCCTTTGAAGGTCATTAGCTGGAGGCCACTTTTGGTTCCTTGACATTTGGACCTCTATGTAGGACAGCTCACACATGGCAGCTGACTTAGTCTCAGTGATCAATGGGAAAAACAGGGGGATGGAGAATGTAGAAGTCATAGCCACCACCCATTACCTTTGTAGTATTGTTTAGAAGTAAGTTGCTATGGGGAGGGGAGAGGGTGGGAGAAGTAGCTCAAGGTCATTTGGTAAAGGACTTGCCTTCTAAGCATGAGGACCTGAGTTTGAGCCCTAGAACCAACATAAAAATTGCCAAGCATTTGTAATCCCAGCGCAGGGAGGCAGAAGCAGGCAGATCTCTAGGACTTGCTAGCTAACCTGCTTAGCCTACTTGGTGAATTCCAGGCCAGTGAGAGACCCTGTCCAAAAAAAACAGGTGGGTAGCACTGATAAAGGACACTGGAGATTGACCTCTGTCTTCCACATGCACACATCCATATGCACCCCAACACAGGAACATATAAATACACACACACACACACACATACATACATACATACATACGTACATACATACATACACAAGAAGGAACTGATGGCCCAAGGGCCTGGATACCAGGAAGTGGAGTATCCCACAAACTGCCTGTCACAGTGAGTAAAAATAACTCAGAGGCTGCATGAGTAAGTTTGCATATGTAGAATTCTTTTGATACTCCTGAACTGAATCTTTATAGACAGGTATGTCAAACTAAACACAGTTGCTTCCCTGCAGGAGGTGGTAAATAATGTTTATCTGCCTTTTCTCACTTATTTCTTTTGATTTTCATTTGGAAGTTCTTTCTAAGTTGAAGTTGAAGAGTAATGTGTCATGTACTCTTTCCCCTTACAGATGTGGTGTTGGCCAGCTGTCAGTGCTGTTTTCATTTTTCTTTCTCTTCCTCTCTCATTCCCTCCTTCCATTCCTCCCTTCCTTCTATTTCCTTCCCTCCTTTCCCTCCTTTAATTAAAATGTGTGTGTGTGTGTGTGTGTGTGTGTGTGTGTGTATTGCATGTGGAGATCAGAAGACAACTTGCAGGAATCAGTTTTCTCCTTCCACCACGTGGGTTCCAGGGATCGAACTCAGGTCCTTAAGGCTTAATGGCAAGCGCCTTTATCCACTGAGGCAGGCTTGCCGGCCCTCTTTTCTGAGACAGTGTCTCACTCTAGCCCCAATCTCCCAGCAACCCTCCTGCCTCCCAAATTCAGGATTCTAGGCATGAGCCACCACATCCGACTTTAGAATGATATTTTGGACACGTTATGAAATTTGTCACAGGGGAGGGAGGGTACTGGTTGCCATGCAGGCGAGGAGCCTGTGAGAGGGCGGGTTGGCATCCCTGGGCTCTGCATGAGGACGTGCCTCTATCCAACAAGTTCTCCTCGCTCCTCTCCCCGCAGAAAACCCTGAGCGGGCGGCTCTGTACTTCGTCTCTGGCGTATGCATCGGACTGCTGCTGACCTTGGCGGCAGTGGTGATGAGGATCTCTTGCCACACAGACTGCCGGCGGGGTCCCAGGAGGAAGTGTTTGCAGAATCGAGAGCTCAGCAGCGAGAGCAGCGACAGCGAGGACGGCAGCGAGGACACGGCGTCTGACCTGTCGGTGCGGAGACACCGCCGCTTCGAGAGGACTTTGAACAAGAACGTGTTCACCTCTGCAGAGGAGTTGGAGCGTGCGCAGAGACTGGAGGAGCGCGAGCGCATCATCAGGGAGATCTGGATGAACGGCCAGCCGGAGGTGCCCGGCACCCGCAGCCTCAACCGCTATTACTAGCTGTGCAGCCGGAACCCCGGAATCTCTGGAGGTCGCCTGGAAGGGAGAGAGGCTCTGCACCGTCAGTGGGCACAAGGCACATGAACTGCTCATGTGGTGCCAGAGAAACGCGGGGCATGCCCACTTCCCAGCAGAACAATGAGTCCTGCTTTGGGACTCTTGCCTCTGGAGAAATAGAAAACTGAAGCAAGCACAGCCTCCCTTCCTGGTCTTGAAACCCACGTGCGTGCTCCAACTCTTCCAGGTCTTGGAATAGTACTGAAACTCCCTCTCCAACCATGTGATGGCAATGTGAGAACCGAAAATATGGTTCCTCTTAATTTCTGAGGGTCTCAGAAGTTTGCATAGACTTATGGCTGTTAACTCCTTTACAAAAGGAGAGAGCCTTGTAGCTTGAGAGCTGGGGGTATCAGGGTAAACTTAACCCAGGAAAGGCAATTTTCTGAATGACTCCATGCTGTGGAGATTATTTTGATGGAGATAGCGTGATCTATGCTAATTATTTAAGGCTAATTTTTTAAAAAATCTTGTGTTGCAATGACAACCTCTGCATTTTAACTGACACCTCAGGGATTAAAATCCTATTTTTTTAGTATAGTTCCCACCTCATTCATGAAAATTAATAGAATTTACTGTATCATGAGAGGTGTGTCAGTGATCAATAACCTCAAAGGATAAAGCATTTATTTTTAGTAGCTTATAAAATATATACTGACATGGGTATTTGAAAATGCTGCATGAAAATACATCTCCCCTTTTGGAGAACTGTCTCTCATGACTTCAGAGAATCTTGGTGTTTAAATATTTTGTTTAAGAAAAAACAGTTTGGATTTCCGAGAAAAGAATGGAAATCAGAGCTAAGAATTAAGGCCAAACTTAGAATGGAATCTAAAATAAACATTCCATAAAAATCTTTTTGTTTCCTGTCTGTCTCTGGTCACACACCATCTCTGTCTATAGGACCTCCCTTGTTTCTGCATGCAGCCTCTGCAGGACTGCTCAAGGACTTAGAATGAAAGAAATGACCCTGAGTGATTCAAGGCTCTGAATTTTCTGTAGGCCGTTGTGGTTGCCATTTGAGTTATGGTTACGCAGACAGAAGAACAGAAGACTTATCTAAGGCCAGAAATCAGATAGTGATCCCTTCATGGAGTGAGGAAGTTGGTAGGGAAGGAAGGGAGGCAGTCCTAAGGAGGGAAGAATTAAAGCCCCTGCCTCTTTTAGAATTGGATCACAGGATGAAGCAGTGTCCTCTAGTGGGTAAAAGGGGACAGTGAGCTCTGTCTGTGGGCTTCCCTCTCTCACCATGGACTGATGACTTTCCTTATTTAGCCTATTTTCATGCTCTAGAGCCTTTGTTACCCTAAGAGGATGAATAGGAGATTCCACCATAGAGTCTATAGCATTTTGGAAATTCACTCACAGTTCCAGGGGCTGAGAGAACTGCAACCTCATCATCTCCAGCTGCCAAGGGACCAGTACAGTTTGCTTGAAGCCCTCAGTGGCTGGTCTGATTATACCATTGGAGTAGCATCATTTTGGGCAATGAGTGCCAAACATCCCAGTAAGTCAGCATCTCCAAATCAAGATGCCCACCCTTGTCATTTGAGACCCTTGGGAACCATCCTGTTTTCCCAGGCTTTAGATTGGCATCATCTGTCTTGGCTGCCTCTTAGAAGAGTAGTGGTAGCTGCTTTCATCTCTGGAAGGCACCCCAGGCTGACTACAGGGAAGAGTTATGACCCTTGCTAGGCAGGGGCTGCAGTAATGGAGGTGCTTATGGGACACATGGCTGGCCCAGGTCTCTCTATATCATCTTGATATCTTTTGTCAAGTCCATGTTTCCCTTATTAGGGTGGTGGATACATTGTCTAAGGCACAAAGTCACTGGTTAGTAGTTTAACCAGCTGTTTCACTTCCCTATAACAAGGATTCCAGTCACATTTTAGGTTATAACCCTACTTCTGGTTCCAGTTTCTGTACAGACTACTTGGATTTGCAACAGAAAGATATCAAACTTAAGAGAATTTATTGGCTTACATAACTCAAAGGGCAGCTTTGGATCTAGCTTCAGGGATGACTGGGTTTAAAAAAAAAGAACTGGAGCCCTGTTGTATGGAAGCAAAGCAGCTGGTTGTCTGTGACCCAGTTCTAAATGTTGCAGGGTCATCCTCTCTTTCGGGGCTGGAGAGATTGGCCCCGTGGTTAAGAACACTGGTTGTTCTTGCAGAAGACCAGGGTTTGAATCCCGGCAGCCAACAACTGTCCGTAACTCCAGTTCCAGGGGATCCGACAGCCTCTTCTGTCTTCCGCAGGCATTGCACGACACAGGTGCACTTTCCTGCACTCAGGCAATACATGCATACACATAAAATAAAAATAATATCTTTTTAAAATGTGGCAGGGTGGTTGTGTCTTCCTTAGGCCTCCTACCTTCCTTTCCCACCAACTTCCTCTCTCCATGTAGGGGTCACTATTTATTTCTTGCCCTGTCCTTATGAATGGATTAGTACCCTTATTGAGGCACTGAATTCCTGTTAAAAAGTCATCAAGTCAACCCTGAATTTTCCTCTTTGTAGTACTTACCTCTCTACCATGTTGCAGTGTTGCAGGAAGGCCTCACCAGATGTAGCCTCTCAATTGATAAATAGCCAAGAGACTCCCCATAGCACATTCAACTTCTCTTGGAGCTAAACCCCAACCATATTTCCTGTCAATGTGTAAACTAAAAGGGTAATACTTATCCAGGCCTAAGAAGTTTTGGAAGTCTTCCTGGGAGAGGAAGCATATCTTGTGTGAGTCTTAAGGATAGGTATGAGTGTGGGAGAAAAAAACCCTAACTTTATTTTGGTATCCATTTCTCTTTACCACTGTGTGTGTGTGTGTGTGTGTGTGAATGTGTATGTGCTTGTGTGTGAATGCACATGAGTGTATGAGTGTGGAGGGCCAGAGGTCAATTCAAGGTATCTTCTTCTCTGGTTCTCTACCTTATCTTTTGAGACAGGGTGTAAGTCAAATTCACTGCTGGGTGGTGCACGTGGCATCCAATCCCCTCCTCCCACCGTCCTTGCTACAGCCTGAGGAAAGAATTCTCCAAACCCTTGTTCAAAGAATCTTAAGGAGTTCATTGAACTTGCTAACTGAACTCAGGGTGCTGGTTTACTTACAGACAAGTGGGCACCCCCTCCCCATTCATGCTGTATTGGAAAGTCCACCCAGACATAAATCCTGTGGCTCTGGACAGTCTTACAAAATGGCAAGAGACTAGCTTGTTTTCCCACATTTTATACCCTTAGCCCCTCCCGGGCAAGCGGCTATGGTCAACAGATTGGCTGGAAGAGGGAAGGGGAGTGGCTTCTTTGCAGAGTGTGGGATGGAGGTAGGTCCCTGGCTTGTCATCACAGGGTCAGAGGAACATAGGTGTCACATAGGGTCTCTCATGGAACTTGGAGCTCACCAATTTGGCAAGATTATCTGGTGAGCTCCAGGGATCTTCCCGTCCACGTTTTTTATGTGGTTTCTAGGAATCTGACTTCAAGTCCTCATGCCTGTGCGGCAAGCACCTTACCTACTGAGCCATCTCCTCAGCCCCAACTTTTATGCTCTGATGCTTCAATTGAAGTTACCTGATGTTCATAAGAGATTTCCATCCATCTTTCTTTACAGTTCACTTTCAATTTCAAAGTCAGCTTGTTTTTTGACTGTCCTCTCTGTCTGAATATTTTCTGATTCATTTCTGTCACTGTGGCACCCTCTGTCTTTGCATTCTGTCATTTATTTGCATGTACACACACAATGAATTCAACTGTGTTGATGTGATTGTGTCTGGCTGCCCCAGTGTCTCAGCGTCATTTAGCCGGCTCATCATAGTGGTGGTGCAGAGCCGCTCAACTCGCCCTTCTTAATTTGCCTTGGGCCAAGCAAAACTAGCCTCCTTTCTCCTGTCTTTCTTCATCTTCTCAATCCATGCTGTGATTACATAAATTGAAAAACAAACTCCTCTGAAAAATTCTGATCAAAGGGCTCATCTTGTCTGCGAGCCCAACTCAGCCTTTCTGGATCAGAATACATGATTTTCCCTGCTGTGACTATTGGGTTTAACATTTTAAAATTCAGCACCAAGAGTATCAGCCTTTATGGGAATAAATGATCTTCCCAAGTCTTCTTGAAAATTTATATCATAGCTTTACTTTATCACTAATTGTAGATTTGAACATTGACAACTGTAAGTTTAAAAGTATAAATTGCTTTCACCTTTTAACTCTGGATGAGAAAATTTTCCCTTCCTTCCTTCCTTCCTTCTTTCCTTCCTTCCTTCCTTCCTCCCTGCTTCCTTCCTTCTTTCCCCCTCCTTCCTCCCTCCCTCCTCCTCCTTCCTTCCTTCCTTCCTCCCTCCCTCCTCCTCCTCTTCCTTCCTTCCTCCCTCCCTACCTCTCATAAACCCACCAGAATTCAGTCATTGTATTTCAACTCCAATGCCTCTACCTAATCCTAATCACTTCCCAAAGACGCAACCTCTACACATCATAGTTGGGTTAAGTTTCCATCTTCGTAACATATTTAATCCTTCTTAGTACAGGTTACATTTCAACACATGAACTTAATATCCCCCTTATTTCTAGAACATCCTGACTTTATGTGATTTTTCTGAATCTGTCTTTGAATTCTGCACTCTGAGCTCCTGAAAATGATCTGTATTTCATTCGCCTCTGTGTTTTCCATGTACACACAGGACATGCCTTAGAGAAGTACTTCCTTTAATATTTTTAGTGTGTGTGTGTGTGTGTGTGTGTGTGTATGTGTATGTGTGTGTGTCTGTTGAGCATGGTATCCTTATGTTGTCCAGGTTGGCCTTGCACTTCCTAGTAGCTGGAAACAGAGGTAAACAGCATTGCAACTGACTATTTTGAGCTCTAAAGTGATGAACAAAATCTCCAAGAATGTGAACAACACACTTCTGCAGGTACTGTGCTACAGAGTCCCACCCTGGCTGTGACAATGATGCTTTCTCAAATTCATGAACATCTATCTATCTTTATTTTTTCTCTTACTGATAACCATTTCCTTGTGCTTTTCCATTTCAGGGTCTCTGTCTACATTAACTGAGATGCCCATGTGATGGAGCTGTGAGCTGAAATCATCTTCTAATTTCAATTCTGCATAGTCTTCAAAAATTCTTCAAGGCTTAATTAATAATCCATGAGTCCAATTAGTGCTGACCATATGCACATGGGTGTGGGACTGTCCACTATGGTATGCATGGACAGACTAACAACAGCCACACCCCAAAGAAAAGCAACTCTCCCACAGCAGTCATCAAGGCCAATAACCCCTTAGCAGGGGGTGGGGCCCCAGGAGCCAGTCCCCTATCTATGCTGGAATTTTAAATGGTTTGATCTTGGGCAGATGACCACAGCTGCTGTGAGTTCACGAATGCGATGGCCATTCATGTCCTGAAGACAGCGTTTCCCAGAGGCTGCCCCCCACATTCCTCAGCTCTTAAATTCTTTCTGTCCCCTCTTCCTTGAAGTTCTCTGGGCCTTGGGTGGGGTTTGTGTTTACGTGCCTCTCCAGCACACTGGACACCACATCAGCATCATAATCAGAGGATGGAAGCCATCCTTTAATTACAACAGTTTCTGTGTAAACTCATCGATGACCAATATTTCAATCCTTTAAGATGGGAATTTCTAAAGCTGAACCTCTGGGAGTATGCTGCGTGCGTCTCCATAATAGTCCTGCCTCCATCCTCAGATCCTCCTGCTTCAAGAACGCCTCAGTCTTACTAGTCTAGTCTGAGACATTTGACCCTCAGACACATTTACCTAATTTTTAACAGGAAACAAAAGTCATTCGGTCCCCTAAAGAAACCCTGATTTTGAAATCTTCTTTTCTAGCCGCCTGTTCACTTTT